AAGGTTGATGCTTTGAGTGTTCCCTTAATTACAACAAAATGAATTAATGAAGCAATCTGGTTTTCAAGATATTATTGTAAGATTCTTACATAATTCTGTACTCATAGGCAATAAAACTAAATGTATATTAGGAATTAAAACAGTTATAGTTCCTCCATAGTGTATCTGTGATTCTTTGGCATGTTAAGAGTGGAAGTAATGCTACCATCAAATAAACTGTGGGGCAGGACTTCAACTACTTCAGTCCATGATAATGAAGACTAAGGCTGCTCTTCTGTCAACAGTAATAAAAAAATCTTGTGAATTGTGTATGAAGTTGAGAGGCTTATATGCATATATCATAGGAGGTGGAGCTAAGGTAATAAATCAGGTTATTTAGGCTCTATTTTCTAACATTGTGGCCTAAACAGGATTCTGTTTACCAAGTTAATCAGCTGAGAATAAGGGAGATCTCTTGGGAGATTTTCAGATCAACAGGAGGTTCCAACTATGTTTATAATAAGAGCCTTTGATATTTGTTTTTATCCTAACAGCAGAACAAGCTAATCTGAGTTCAAGACGTGCACTGTTTTCTTCTTCAGCTTTCCATAACTGTTTATGAAACCAATTTCCAAACTTTGGTCTCAAAATAAATGCTCTGTAGACAGACAATACAATACAACCAGCACCTTCAGTGCACCAGGCAGTAAGTAGTTGTGGAGACTGGCAGTGATTAGTTCACCCTAGAGGTAGAAGAGCCAGGAATAACAAAGGTCCATTGGTCAAATTCTACCTCGCGTATCCTTCTAAAATGCCATCATCTGTCAGATGTGCCTTTAGACATACACACTTCCAAAATTTCAAATTGCCTGTCATATTGGAAGTCTTGGTGCTCTAGAAATTCTGTCTCCATACAATGTATCTGACATTGATATCCAATGGTGTTACACAGAAATAATTAAGAGGAAAATGTCCACGGATACCTGGAATTCAGGAAATTCAATAACTCTTATAATAGGATTAGATATATGTTCTATTCTATTCTCTTTTATTAACAAGTGAAATGCAATACAATGATTGTGGCTACTAATACAAAGGTCTGGGATTTTAGAACAAGGAAGGAAACTGATGGTCAATCAGATACTATTTTTCAAAGGCACCTTTCTAACAATGATTATGCACAGAAAAGCTAATTGCAACTTCAAAATATCATAAAACTGCACAGCTTCTCTTCAAATAATGGACATAGCATGGGCTTGTCCGTGATTATTTTTTGTAAATGACCCTATACTGGAAATATCTTTAAATACAGAAGATCTTTTCAGGATGAAATTACTTTATCAGCCAAACAAATAAAACTGCATTTGCCCTTTAGCACAGCAACATTGACATCTAGTGGCTAGTTAAGATTGCTGTTTAATATTCTGTGTATGAGAAAAACAAGTGGAACACACCATTTATTGAATTTGACAAACCAGGTATGCACTGCCTGCTATCTCCACATAGCCTCTAGATGATTACACAAATCATTAATGACTAGTTTGGAGTTACCAGTACCTGTGATGGGAACTGGTGAGCCTGAGGCACTGCCTCTCATGTACAGCCCCACTGCTTTTCCCTGACTGTCAGGAAGTGCACAGTTTGGGAATCAGCTGCCTGACTGTAGTGTATACCTTCCTCAGGACTTGTTGGGAGGCACGGCACATCCCTGAAATTGTACACGGGTACAGCTAAATGAAAAAGAGCTACAGTTGCTGAATGTGATGTTACTGGCATATGTGAACGTCCATTTTTAGCTTTACTTGCTTTTTCTACAAATTACTAGGGGGTTTCAAATAGGAGAGGATAAAAATCAGGAACATGACAGATGCCAAAGTACTGTTCGTACAAAAGACACAAAAATAAATGATTTGGAAACTTACTTCACAGACATGTAGGAGATAGGAAGATGCCAATATCAAATAGCATTAGAAAGTAATTTCTTCATGTGTCAACAAAACTCACTTAATGGAGAAAGTGGAAAGATTAAACAGGACAAATATCAGTTTTACTAGCATTCTTGATGGTTCTACATTACTGTCTCATAATCAAAGTCAAATGTGGTCTGTGGCAACAGCTCACAATGGGCGTAGTTGTGACTGCCCTGCCCTTGCTCTCCATACCAGTGGTAGCTGCCTCTTCAAGCCTGCTGGCAAAGCCTTCTGATTTGCTTCATTAAAAAACTGGAACAATTTTTTAATTGGCTAACCAAACTAATTTTGATTCAACAGATCAGAGGCTGTTGAGTTTAAACAACTTTACCAGAAGATCTTAGGGGGCAATCATCTTCTGCAGGAAGGCTGATGTGTTTCTTCCTGGCTAAATACTGTTAAGGAGTAAGCATCTACACTTTGTATTTCTTAAAAATATATAGAGAAAACTCACTCTGGAAAAAAGCAATAAAATGTAAGAGTTCTCCAATATGTAACCAGTATAGAAAGATTGAAGCACCTTCTCAGGCTACAAAAAGGGAAAACTGTGGGGATATATGTCTTCAGGGCATTAAGAAATTAACTCAAGTAGCAACAAACAAGATTTTTTCTTAGAGAGTAGGAAGAACCCCTTATACCTAACAGGTTAATAGATTAAGGTATTAAGCTGTGAAATCTACACTAGAACCTCTTATGAACAGCTCAATAAGTATGTGTCAGGTATACTTTGAATTCTGCATCTCTATGATATATGTACCATGTCTGACTTAAACTTTCTGGGTACATCAGGTCTCCTAGTCTCATACTTTATTTAGCCCGTTCTAGATTTAGGGCAGAACTCAAGTTAAAGCTACAATGATGTTTTCTCCTTTGTGGACCACAAAGTTCAGGACTACTGTAATTTAAGACTATTGTTTCACATTACTGCTGACCTGATCTAAAAGAGAGCGGCTGCTCACTTCCCAATTCCCTCCTGTCCCATCCCTAACATTTTTTCGCTTCACCAGGGTTACTCATCCAGACACCACATCAGGACAGTCACAGGAGCTAGGGTGGCAGAAAATTAAATTCTGCTGTTCAGCAAGAGTGGTCAGATGAGCATTAGATCTAGTTCAGAAGAATACTCTCTTCATTAGTAGCTTGACTTACTTGTAAAGACTAGCACAGATTGACTTACTTGTAAAGGAAAGCTGTGCTCCTAAGGTTGGCCTGTACAGTCATCGAAATCCCACTTAAAACCTCCTGCCCTGTAATGAGTTATGTCCATCTCATCTGTTCTTTTTCCTGCATCTTCCAATCCCAATCCACCAAAAGACAAGTGCCTTTTTGGTATCAAAATATACTGCTGCTGGAATTAAACTATGGAGATAGTCCCATTGGAGCAAAGTATAATGCATATAACCAACGCTAAGGGCACATTCAGTTTCAGATTCCAGTTTATTTAGGAGGCCATTTCTGAACCCATTCCCCAGCTGTAGCTTACTGTAGCCCAGATATAAAATGCAGTCAGGTGATGTTCTGGAGCAACGCAGTTAGACATCAGAAAAGCATAGCATAGCAAGATGAAATTATCTAGCTGCTATTCTCAGAAAAGCTGTTTATAACATAACTTCAGCATCTACAGCAGCTGCTATAGATGGACTCACTGCAGATAATTTTCCTGTCCCAGAAACTGTATTTTTTCTATATGCAGGCTTTGTGGCCACAGCGCAATGCCAAGAGATTCAAGCACTGTAAATCTTTCCTCTACCTTTCCCACTCTTCTTCAAAGTGCATAATCAATGATATGTTGGCCCAGTTTCTAGAATCATGTCAGGATTCATTCACACTAAAGCAGGCTGTCATTTCCATAAGGCAGGAACAACAAAAAGATGCTTGCTATTACAGCTTTGAGAGTATACATTATTTATTTTGATATATTTAAATTATTAATTAGGATAATTCCATTCTTGCAAAAGAGTCTCTGCCCTTTAAAGGAAATGGGCCACATTCAGTAGGACTTCAGCAGAATACTGCATGCACTCAAATATGCACAGTGCCACTCAGTTCCTTTCCATGGGACACTTTAGCATCATCTTTGCATTCCTTCACAGCAATAATGGCATAACAAGTAACACAAACAATAGGTCAGGAGAAAAAAAAATCTGAAAACAACGATCTACTAGCCAAGGTAAGGAGATTCACTGTCAGCTATGGTGTGTGATTGTCTTACTGCAGAAAAGCAACACCTACAACTTATATTTTACAACTTGTATATTACAAGGGTAGCAGCAGTATTTAAATTTTTAATATTTCCCTGTATTAAGTGTGTCTGTGGTTTAACTATCCAGGAATCAATAACACAACTGGAAATACAGTCCAGATGGACTACAGCATTTCAGACTTCAGCAGTTCAGGTTGTGTTTGATGGGAAACTATCAATTCATTGACAGCTAATTGCTCTATCTGATAACTTAATGCCGAAGATTGGTGCTTCCCAGCTACTTTATCAGCAAATACTTCTGGCTTATAAAGCTCCTTTTTATGATGCAACCCACGGGCTCCCCAAATTCTTATCGCCCAGTTGCCGCCGGTCCTCAGAGGGAAACTGAGTCACATACTGCCTTTCGTTCTTCTAACTGCGAGATGCGACTGACGAGGAGAGAAGCCGCTGGCACAGGCAGCAATCAGTGCTACAGATCGCCGTGCCGAGGTCGCGATCTCGGTCTGTGCCGCACCGAGGGGATCGCGGTCCGTGCCGCGCCGAGGGCAGCGCGCAGCTCCCGGGCACGCCTGGCAGCTGCTGCCCTCCGCAGGGCGCCTCCCGGGGCCTCCCGCCCGGAGCGTCCCCTTCTGCGGGAGAGGTCTCCTCCCGAACAACGACCCCCGCCTCCCCGATCCCCTCCCGAGGCACCCTTTCCACCGAGCCCCGGCACCCGCAGCGGGGTGTGAGCCCGTGCCCCCACAACAGGGACTGCCCTGCCCGAGAGCGCCGGGGATGGTGCGCGGGCGACCCGGGTCGGGGAGAGGGGCGCGCTCAGGCCCCTCGGAGCCCCTGCGGCACAGTCCTACCTTCCCAGAGGCGGAGACCGCGGCAGCCGGGGCCGCTGACCGGGTTCCCGGGCAGGGAGACTCCCCTCGCCCCTAAACATGATGAGCGGCTTTCCCCTCCCCTCCCGTGCCGGCTCGCCCTCCCCCGCGCCCCGCTGCCCCGCGCCGCCCGCCCGCGGCGGAGGGAGGGACGGAGGGAGGAAGGGAGCCCGCGGTGCGGCCCTGCTCCGCCTCTACCCTGCTTTCCGGGAGCGCAGCAGCGCCGGGGCTGGCAGCAGGGCCGGGCGGCGGAGGCGGCCCTCGCCGCGCCGCGGCCATGGAGCCCGAGCAGCTGCGCCTTTCCGCGGCCGTGAGTGGGGCCGGGAGGGAGGGATGGAGGGGGCCCGGCAGAGGCGGGCGGGGACAGGCCCGGCGGAGGCCGCGGCCTCCATGGCGGCGGGGCCGGGGCGGGCGGAGGAAGGGCCGCCGGGTCCCGTCCCTGTGCCCCACTGCGGCGGCGGAGGAATGGTCACGCGGGCCGGGACAGCGCTGGGCCACTGCAGGATGGCCGGCAAGAAAGAACTGCTTCAGAAGCTGCGTCTGACTGGCCGGTGTTCGGTTTCTCCGTGGAGCTCCACAAAACTAATCCTTGATGTCGTGGTCTGCTGTTAGCTACCTTTTACTCCTACTTTTTCTTTCATAGCTGTAATAAAGGGGAAATATCTTGCGAGTGCTTTTTTCTCTTTGTTAGGGCCGTTCGCTGTATATTATACACAGGCACGCCTTGTAATAGGTTTTACAAGGAAGAATCAAGTTGCTTATTTTCAGGTTTTTTCCTCCAAGTGGGGTGGCAAAGCTTCATAGACAACATCAAGATGGGAAGAGCATGTTGCAGTGAAGCATTCTGACCTTCCACACAGCATATTTTATCCATCAAGGATGGCTCCTTCAAGTCCTCTTATAGATCCTGTGCTTCCTTCATACCCTCCCCAAATAGTTTGTACCAAAACAAGCACCAGGCCTGTTCCAAGTCACATCTGGCTGTGAGCAGACACGGCCACAGACCTGTGTGCTGGGCAGATAAAGGGGTGGATGGACTTATGAAGACAGTGACAGGACTGGGCCCGAGGTCAGGAGCCACGAGTTGGGAATATTTTATAGGATTGTTTTGCCTTCTTTCTTCTTCTTGACTGTTGTTTCATGTTCAGTCACATGTTGTGGTCAAGAGTGGACACATTTCACTAGTGTGTGTTTACCTCGTTGGAGAGGCTTAAAGAGGTGTCTTCTCTGGATGCAAATACCTGCTGTAGATGCAGTGCTGGGCAGTCTGTAGTGTCCTGGATTGATGTCGAGAGTTGGTATCTCAGTTTGACATCAGTTGTGTACAGCATTCATGCATTTACTGTGTTTTGTGTGGGTTTTAGGAGCCGAGAGTTTAGTGGACTCTGTTCTGTCTCCAGTTGTTTCATCATTAAATAATCCAAGATGTTTGGATTACTTAAGTGTGAGCTAAATGTACTCCAAAGCATATTTGTGCTTGTTTTAATTTTGTGGTTTCAGTTTGTTTTATTGTTTGGGAATAAAAAAATCAAAGTTGGCACAACAGCAAAATACACTGTACCATTTAAGCCAGCTTTCAGGTTCGTGTTTAGAGAAAACACTTGGTATTTGTATTAGTAATTAACTAGAAGCATTCTGAGTCTGACAAATTCCATCAAAGCAAAGTTTATGTTGAAGGGTTTAGTGAAAGTAGTTATTTTAAATTCTGTTGATTGTGCATGTCCATGTCTATATCTGCTAGGTTAGGCACAAAGCTTTGGTATCTGCTTGTCTATTTCTACAGTTAAATATTAAATATGTTTTCCTTATCTGGGATTGTAGTTGTCTGTTTACATTTTCCTTCCAAAATGGCAAGGTTCATTTATGGATGGGGTTCTTTGATGGAGTTCCTGAAATGAAGTAGGCACGTTTTACCAAGAGTCAGCTCATCTTGGACCTGAGGTGTGAGGTTAGAAACCGTTCAGTCCCAGTCTCTGCGAGTGTCATCCAGCACTGCTGGAGCTGCTGCTGTCAAACCCAGCCTCAATGCAGCACCTGTCTGTCCCGCTGTTGCCTCAACAGAGGAGTGATCCACAAGTGTCAGGAGTGATCATCAGTCATGGGTTGTGTTCTTTTTCACTCAGAATTTTTATCTGTGAGGTATTGCAGTGATTCAGAAGAATGAAGCTGTGAAGAGCTTTGCTGTCCTTAGCCATACCTGCCCTTATACTCACAGTCAGCTTCACAAAAGGCAGTCATCAGCTTCTTAGAGCCCTACAGTATGACTCTGTTGGAGTAGCTTTTCTTGCATCCTTTTTTCTTTTATTTGAATCATTCCTGGAATCACTTGAGAGCTGATTAGTGAGGATGTCTGTTCCTTTCCTGGGGTATATCATCCAAGGACAACTGCTTTGTGAGAATCTCCTTTCATTTGAGCTTTCTCGCCTGTTTCAGTACTTCATCTGTCTGGGGCTTTCATGGTCATGGTGTTGGCTGAGACTTCCCAGGCGTTGAGTGTGAAGGAAGCTCTCGATGTTCATTTGGGAAGCATTACTAATGCCATTTAAAATATTCCCAGATTAGCATGAAATTTTTTAGATTTAGAGCCCAAGTATGCAGCAAATATATTTGCTGCATGCTTATAGAGTGTTCATATTTTCTGAAAACTGTATAAGCTTCATTAACAAAAGTAGTGACAGGTTGGCTACTAGAACCACCTAGCTATGAGACTACATTGTTGCTGCTTTTTTGCAAGTGCGTGAGGATGGTTTACAGCAGACATCTGCTGCAGTTTTTTATTTGGTTTGGAGTTTTGTTTGGGGGGGTTTGCTTTTTTGGTTTGTTTCAGTTTTGTTTGGTAATGGGCAATTTTTATGTCTCATGAGAAATAGGAAATAGTTCAAAAAAAGTTCTGATTTTCTTTTTTTGAAATATATATGTGTAGGAGAGTTATGTGTTCTTCAGAAGCATCCAGAAGAGTGGGAGGAACATTACAGTATTTGTTTTTTAATAATAATAGCAAGGGATTTTTGAAAATCTTAAAATGAGTCCTTCACTGACAGTTTGAGAAGACAGTGTTATACATACTGTGCACAATACAAAGCAGTTGTTGGTGTCAGTAGAGGGTACCTCTGACTCCTCAGCATGGCGTTTCTGTGAGGCGTTTATGTCAAGAGAAGCCACCTCATCAAAATCATCATCTGGAGTTGGGTCTTTTTTTCAGATTTACAGCTACCAGTGTAAGATCTAATGATCTAAAATGTTGCATGACAACCCAATAAACTTTTATTCCCATTTTCCTTCATTTATAATGTGGACATATCACTTGCTGTCATCCAGCCCCTTGAAAGACTAGCTCCTGGGGAAGATATTCATGGTTGTCTTACATAAGGAACGTTGTTTAGAAAATAAAAACCCAAGATATTTATCATACATCTGGTTTGCTGCACCTGAGTGAAGATTAAATATGAGGACGTATGCATATAAATTATCTGTAAAGTGATCTATTTTACAAAGTGATCTTTCTTTGCCTGTATTATTTGGAATATGCTTTGCATTGTCTGTGGAATTTTGTTTGGCTTAGACATGTGAGAATTTGCACTAGTTCGCTTGCTCTCTGTCTCTCTGTCTTTTATTTATGCATGATGGACAGTGCTGATTTGTAATGATGCCATATCCATATTGCATTAGCAGATATATTGACTGGTCTATTATTTTCAGGCACATGGCCATGGAGGCTATGATTCTGATTTTAGTGATGAGGAGAGTGGAGAGAAGTCTCTGCAAAAGACTAAAAGGTAATGTAGTACAGAATTAACACTTTGCATTATGTATTTTGTACAAATGGCCTCTTAGTGTGCATAGAAGGTGATGCTGTTGCATGTAAGGTCTGGTGTTGAAATGGTTTTTGAAAAAATCAATCTCTTTGATTTCTGCATCTCCTCATCTCAAGCTTGCCAAAGCTTGTCATCTCCAGGGGCAGCTGATTAAGAGCTGTTCTGCCATCTCCATCTGGTGTATATTTGCCCCTCAGTTCTGGGAGCAGAGTGTTTTGTTTTTCCAAGCATTAGTATCCACTGCTGGGTTTTGGCAGCACTGTTCACACCACTGTGATCCATCAGGACAAATGGAACTGCTAGGAGAGCAAGGCAAAAAAGGCCAAGTGGTTAGCAGGCTTTGTAGATATAAAACACATAGAGATACAAAGTGAAGAACTGATGCTACTGCTTTATTATTTAATTTGTGAGGAGACCTGGGAATTGGTAAATTGTGTTGTGATCAATCCTTGAAATGCACCTGCACATCTCTTATTTGAGATGACCTTGGCCAATACTTTCAGTGATTTGCACAGTTAGTGACCTGGAATTTTGTAGTCTGATCTGACTGATTTATTTGTTTATGTATTTATTTTGCTTTTGAACTGCAAAACACCTTGACACTTTCTGCATCATACTGAATATTTGCATGTACTTTTCTTACTTTTTCTTGTCTCTCCATTACTCTTTTATTGGACTTTACATAAGAAGACTTTCTGGAAACTGTCCTAGGACTCTTGCATATTTTTCCTTTGTAGGAGAATTGAAATAATGGATTTTGTAATGTCTGATTGCATTCTGGGGAAAAAACAAAATCATGTTTTAATCTTTGAAATAATAGCATGCATTTTGCCATTTAATTTATTTTATAAATACAGCAATTCTCCATTAAAATAATAACTGGTTTTGCTCAGATTTCATTTTATTTAGGTGCCATTGCACATTCTACCATTCCACTTTCTAGGTGGAATATTAAGTAACCATCAGGAGCCTTTCAAAAATACCATTGTTATCCTTGTTCTGGCACACAACTGCTGATTCCTGTAGGGCTCTTTTTTGCTCTATCATTGTATTTATTTTCACTTTAAGGAAAATAGTAGTCTTAAATTCTCTCCAAATTGCTGTTTTATAGACCCTTTAAAGGGAATTTTGTGCTTACAGATCCTTTTGAGTAAATGATACCTTAAGTTTCTAGAGTCCTATATTTCACAGCTAGAAACAAATTCCCTGGCTTGTTTCCTTCAGGTTTCTGATTACCATGCTTTCTGCCCACTGATAATTATGAGAAAAAATCTT